GATGTAAATAGCACTTTGTTAAATTCAAATGGCAGCTAAGTGTAGGCCTACAGTAGCCTTCAGATCATATTGTACAACTGAAGAAAAGGTCTTCATAATAGCTTGCAAATTATAATATGAGTAATATTATTATTACTCAGTTAGATCTCTACTACAACATTGAATCACACTGTTGTTGACTGCATCATTGGAGGGAACTTAATTGCAAAATGACACCTATGCTTCTGTTAGTGAACAGAAAAAGTATCAAAAGATATAAAAAAATGTGTATCTTAAATTGAGTTCTAAAAGACTGAAGAGAGCTAATGAAGAGATAACTGCTATGAGCCATGTTTTGAAATTCTTTTTCTATTGAGGGGTGTGCAGCTACATTTGATACCAGTACCAAACTGGTCAAATGGTATACAAAGTTAAATGGAGGCCTCAAATTCCATGTGGATTACTGTTCCCAACTGGTCTATTTTTTTTTTTTAACCACTGTGCTGACTTAGTTTTCTTTTAATGAAATCTAGAGTGTTCAAAATAAATAAATAAATAAATAAATCAATTAATTAATTAATTAATAATAATATTTGTGGCAAGTTAATGAAAACAAAGATGGGCCTAAAACTGAACACTGGGCTCGGGGACACCACAGTTAAAAGGGACTTATGTTTACCTAAAAAAGAAAATTCTCACAGAAAATCACATTCCTGTAATGTAGTAGCATTGACAATTGTAATGCATGTTAAGTGCAATATAAATGTATCCATTATAAGAATATTAAAAGCTGATTATTATAATGCACTACTACCCACAGACCTACAGTTTGTGGCCAGGCAGAGCAGCCACAGTAGGTGTGTGTTAACTGTGGATCAGTGAAGGCAGAGCTGGTCTAAAGTGTTTGTTAAAGGCTGGATCGCTCCCTGCAGACCGGGGCTGGAGGGCCTGAATAATGCATGGCTGCTCCTGGAGTAATGAAGTGGAAGTGATGGGGAGGAATACGGCTGGCCTCCCTGGGATCACCCACGCTAACTGTACACACACTCTTAAGAGCTGCCTGTACAGCCCTATAGTCCACTCCTCACAGCAGCAATGCAGCGGCTAAGAGGGTTAGCTTGTCTCTGCTCCAGGACTCTGCATGATTGATGAAGAAGACCTGGCTGTTTCCAAGATCTCGTTCATAGTTCTTGAGTTCTGCAACTTCTCATTTGACACATGGTGGACAGTGGTGTGGTGTTTGCAGCCTTGTTTGAGAATAAGACACAGCATGCTTTGCACCCTGTACCTGGTGCCATTGTGATTTACATGGGGTTGTGTCTAGTGGTGGACAGAAAGACCTAGCTCTAGTTTTCTCATAATCCATTCATAACTTGAGTCTTAATCCCTTTTAGCATCTCTTCTTTTGCTCTGAGGAGAGAGTGGCACAGAAAAAAGTGTTACCTTGAGTAGCCATGTCTATATTTGTCTGACTGAAGTGGCAAAAACAACATATTAGGCATAAGAATTTCTAAAACATTTACTTTTATAACAAATGCAAATGCTATAAGTATGCTTCATGACAATCACACAATTTTGTTCTTGCCTTAAACTTTGTCAAATATCTCCATGTAGTCTGTTTGGTAGAAAGGTTTCCATATTTTTAGACTGCTCCCTTACTCTAAAAACACCATATTTCTTCTACATGATGTACAAGTTTAGTCATAGCTGTCTCACAATTTTCTATGTACCTAATTCCATTCCTTTTGCGTTTTTGTCTTATTAGAAAGCAATAGTAAAAGCCTATATTTTTACAGGCTGGCTGATGATATATTGTGGTGGTTCTGACTACCACGATTTACCATGTTTGTTGTGTTCATAGCCAGGTAAGGCATTGCTATAATTGCTATTTTGCTTTATAATTTTTCAGCAGCTGAAAAGGTTTAAATTGGTTTAGGCGACAGTTGAACAAGAAGCATGCAATCAACTCTAACCAGGAAAATTTTCACTTAAATCTGAACTACTACCAAAAGTCTCACTTTTTTTTGCCTTTCCTACAAATACCATGAGTTGAACTGTTCTCACATTAACATGCTTATATGATTATCACCCACACACCCCTCCCCCTACACAAAGCCCCTCCCACTGCATAATAGCTCTTGCCTCAATGTGGAAAATAAGAATGTTTTTTTGCACAAAGCATCTGGAATGAATGATTGATGGGAAGGGAATGGGATCACAACCAGATAATCACGGTCTAACGAACCCAGAGCCTTAAGGAGAAAAAAAGTGGAGGAATGCCATAAATTATGAACATATTGTAAATTAATATATAATATATAAGTAGTGGATTGAATATTCAAAACTTGATCCAAGCATGCTTGAGGTATTCATTGTCTCAGCACAATAACATGGTAAAAATGTACCATATTGGGTCAATAGCAATACAATACAATACCCAGCTAAGGAGTTTGAGTTTGACAAATTACAAAACTTTTTCTATAAGTTTTTGTCATAGGCCCAAAGCAGTACTCATTAGAAGTTGTGCACTTAACCTTACAACATTTTGGATATGTTAGCACTGAGTGGCAAAAGTTGTTTGAATACGTCAATGATGAATTATGCTTGTGTTTTGAAATCTGTTTCTGCAAGAGTTCAAAACATCTCAAATTTGAACAAGACAACAACTCTGACGAAAATGAAGTAAAAAACAAAGAAACACATTTTATCATTTGTGCACAGTTTCACTCAGCCAGAATCTTGAGGGGCATTTTTTTGCTAGAAAGTAAATAGTAAGTGCACAACATCTTTTTAGATATGTGGTATTTGGATAAAATGTTTTTCAAACTATGAGAACCCAATCAATGATATGAATTCACTGATTTTAGCTTAGGGAGAAATTTCAGCATAACTTAATGTTAATGATTGTTATAGCTAAATCTATATCATAGCTACATCAAGACTGGTTATAGGAATTATCAGAATATCTTTTGAACCTATAATGGAACCACATAAGTTCAACTGCTTTGCCAATCACTTTAGCTAGTATACTAAAAGTGAGCTGTGAAGTTGTTGCTTGACATTTGAAGCACTGTTCATCTAAAAATGAATTAGGTAACCTGGTCTGGGAATTCAACCTGGGATTACCAACAATGTACAAAAAGATGATTACTTTTGAAGAGGGAGTTTATTATTGTGTATCTAGCATAGGTTATTTTTTGTGCACAATATTCCTGCTATAACCATAATCATGTCCAGTGTCAGTACCTAAATAAGTTGCCATTCTCAGTGAGTGGCATATGTTTTTGTAGGAGGACGTGGAGCAGATAACTTCATTTGAGCACAGATGAGACGGAGATGGTGAGTCCATGTCGGAGAATATGAGCACCTTTCACAGGACAAATGGAATGTCAATCAAGCCCCAGTGCACAGATGCCCGTCCCCTGTGGCCCGAGAGCTTTCCGAAGATGTGTCTCTGTTGTTCTGCCCCTACTCCAGGTGCACTGGGAATATTCTGTCCTTTTACCCCACTCTTCACCCCCCACTGCATTTCAACTTACTTAACTCTTCATTTTTCTATTTATTTGGGGAATTTTATGTTTGTTATGTGCATATGCCACAGAATTAGCAGAAATTACTTAATTACACAGATTTTAACCTAAAAACGCTTCATGAAGAAGACCCTCAATCCAAACTGAAATGGTTTCTGAGCCCTGTACTGTCTGATTTACTCTTAATTATAAGTCGTAACAAGTTATACACAAAGGAAAATTTAATTTCCCAAATATTTCTTCCTAGAGGAGTAAAGCTGCTGTTGGGAGGCATAGACCGACAGAAATGAGCATTTGGTGACAGTTTCCATTTCAAAGCTGAAGCCAATACCACCAAAATGACTTGTAATTAAGTAGTCCAGACGGAATGCCTATAAAAGGCCCATTCAAATGTTGTACATTGCGGAGTACAAACTGATCCTGATTCTACCCAGAATGGTTAAACTGACTGAAAATGAGTTGGCTACTGCTTTCCAGCCCAGGAGCTTGATCGTTCCCTCTTATCAGATGGTGAAAAATAAATTAAGAAAAAAAAACAACAAAAAAAACAAACTGTTAATATGTTTACACTACGAATAAAATGTGGCCTGTTGGTTGGTTCTAACAAACTAACTAAGGCATTCTTTAATACGCTCATTTCTACTGAAAATGAATCGTATCGGTATCGTTTTTCCCCAGTTCTGTTGTTTTGAGTATAAGGCTCACCATAAACTTTGCATTATATACAATTATACATTGTATAAACCTCACCTAAATGTCACTTCAACACTTGATATTGCATGCAGAACAGTGACAACTCACCCAACATAACTTCTGTTGACTTACTTTCGCCATGCGTTAAGTAGCTAGACCAAGCCTACATCTCTGTATTGCATCACAGGCCATAGAATTAGATATAATCCTCTTAAATTAAAGAATGTCCTATAGAAAATTATAGAGACGTAGCCACTTCCTCATGACGGCTTATTAAAACATGACAAGCCATTCAGTCGGTAAAGGTGCTTACTCAAGGGAATGCACCCAGTGTTTATTGTTTGATTAATTTGCTCGGAGGAGACCTGAAATTCCCCCACTCATGAATATGTGGATGACAGGGAGATTTCTCGCCGGTGACAAGTTATCTAAACTACAGGGCAAAACGATTATGCTAATACCAGGTTGTAGTCATCAATCATCTCGTGTCAATGTGGTGTCAACGCATCACGTTCTCCTTTCCCCCCTCTGGCCAAAACACTGCGTCTCCGTATATGCGTCTGCGTCAATGTATGCAGCTTTATGTGAAGAGAATTGATCACAGTCTCATTACGCCTGGGGGACTTACGGGTGCGCTTAAGTTTCAAAAAACCAAGACGGAATTTATTAGGTGAGTTCCTTAGTCTACGCCTTGGCGCGCACACGCGCACACGGCCAGGGCTGACGTCACAGGGGCGCTTCTTAAAACCAAAGAGCGTCTGGCGGAGATGAGCGCTTTGATCACACACATACGGAATCATAGCGGGATCTGGGAACAGTGCCAGAGACCTCTCATCCAGGAAGTGACTTTTTCTCCATTACCCGACTCTGCGTATAAAGCGGAACCTTTGCGTAATGTTGCCACTCTGAATGACTTTAGTCCCGGACCACTGGGAGAAGTTTGAAGAACAGTATTTTAAGTACCGCGACTTGTGTCCAAAGTGAGCGCGTCTGAGCGACGGATGCTGCTGAAGTGGCAGCGCTCCTGCCTTCGTCTTTGGTATCATCTCAAGTATGGCTTACTCTCAAATGGCGTTTTCATACCCTACAGCACCACAGGTAACATTTAACTAAATATTAGGCTAATGACACAATTTTCCAACTCATTAAATGCATTTTATGTCATTTAAAATGGACATAGACTGGCTGTGTTCTCGGGCCGGCCATTATTGTAAGTTTAGCGTTCAATAAAACTGTGATAAACTCAAACTTCTCCATCATCGGATTCTTACTTCTGACCCATTAGTCAATAACCTTCTTTTTTATCCTGGCTTCTACATTTCTTGAGAATGACTTAAGAAAGTTAGTGTAATCACGTAATGGCATTTTTACCTTACATACGTTTCATTACATGTACACATGGGTATGTAGTTTCTGATGGCGTCCAGTCCTCTGAATGCGTGTTTGGAGCCATCCACGCCCCCGTCCCACATAGTGCAGTGCTCCCCGGGACACCAGCTCACACCTGGGTCAGGCATAGGTGTGTACAGCCGGCCCTATCCTAAGAGCCAGACGTACTACAGCAGCTGTACCAACGACGCCACAGCGCTCTACTCTAGAGTAAGTAAACTTAACCATTGTGCACTACATTCTTCAGGCCCTGTGTTTACCATGAGATGTGTGTTTTAGGGTGCACCTGAGCCAAAAGATGGAGCAACCTCTGTGCACGTGGGCTCCTCACAGACACCTGCTTACTATCCCTATGAGTACACATTTGGACAGTATCCCTATGACAGATATGGGTATGTGGATTTCAGCTGCTTATTATACGGTTATGTATCTTGATATATGTCAGGACTGTTATTTATGGTGATGGAATGGTGAATAGTAAATTCTGGAAATGTATATAAAGTAGTGCATATAGTATATAGTATATAGTATATAGTATGTATATAGTATGTAAATAGTATGTATATAGTAGTATTACTAGATCTGTTGTCTGGATACTCATGCATGATAAACATACCATGGTAAACATATTTACTAATATAGTAATATAACACTTAGAGGTACATGTGACAGAGCTGAACTGACAGTTCCTCTCTGGATGGTGTCAGGTACAGCTCGTCAGATGGAGCGTCCCGACGGAAGAACGCCACACGAGAGACCACCAGCACGCTGAAGGCCTGGCTCCAGGAGCACCAGAAGAACCCCTACCCCACTAAAGGAGAGAAGATCATGTTAGCCATCATCACCAGGATGACCCTCACACAGGTCTGTCACACAGCCATCATGTTTATGCCATTGTGGCTCATTTGTTGAAGTCATCCAGAATTGGTAAGTACTTTTAAACTTTGGCTGCTTTTGTACTCCTGGCCCTCATAAACTTTGATGTGTTCTCTTCTAGTTTATTCCTGTTTATTACTGCTATATGAACTCAGACATAGTTCATGTTTTTTCCTGTCCATTCAAAGGTGTCCACGTGGTTTGCCAATGCTCGCAGGAGGTTGAAGAAGGAGAACAAGGTCACATGGTCTCCTCGCGCCTGTAAGAGCTCAGATGACAGAGGCGGAGATGACAGTGATGAGGCAGAGAAGCCCCTCCAATGTGACCACGATATGTCAGGTGAATCTGACTTTTTACGGTGTATAGTACTCATAAAATCAGTATATTTCCTAACCAAAACATGCTGTCTATGGTGCAAAATTAGTTATATTCACACAATGAAACAGTGACATTATGTAATGATTTGGACTGTAAGATTATAGATTAAGTATCATTGCTTAAAGAGTTTGCACTTTTCAAATTGGTTTGTCTTTAGATTTTTCACAGTCAGTTAGACCTCTACATGAACTTGTGAACCCAAAGTAAAATCATCTTTGTGCTGCTACCTCTTAGTACTCAGGAAATTGTGAGCGGAGTTCAACAAAATATGTATGTGACATTTACCTTTAATAATTAACATTAACTTTATTTTTAATTTTATCTTTAACCCTTTCAGAGCAGCAGTGTGGCGATCTGCAGAGTGACCTGGAGGACTTTGACCTGCTAGAATCCGATGCTTCAGATTCAGAACCTAAACCCCCGTTTCTCCCTGAGGACCCGGACTCCACCCCTCTGTCACATAGCACAGACATACTACAGGAGCAGAGACTGTCTCCTGACTGTCACAAACTCACCCCCGTCCCCCCACAGACCACCTTCTACCCTGGCCCAGAGCTCCGGAGCACCAGTGACAAGCCCAAAATCTGGTCTATCGTCCCCTTAGAGGAGGAGCAGCAGCCAGACTTCCCGTCCTGCATGCTGTCCTGTGCAGGCTCCCTTTCCCCACACTACACCTCCAGCATGGCTGTGTCCAAGGCAAAGCAACAGCTGGAGTCGCCAGTGGCAACGCTCCGAGAATGGGTGGATGGAGTTTTTCATGGTCCACCTTTTCTCCAGGCCAAGTCTCCAGAAGGAGGATGGAAAGGTCTACAGGAAAATATAACGGACAGTAACAGGACGCAAGGACCACTGTGAACAAATGTATTTATTTATTAAGGGCATCTGAGGACAACTGATTTATTCATACATTGCACCATTTCCAAGAATTTATTTATTTCAAATGCAATTATGATTATATGACCACACTAAGTGAACTTTCCCATGACATTCTAATTTAATGGCATGCTCCCATGTATCCTATAATCCAGTCAACAAAGTTGCCATTTTTACAAACCTTTAGGAATAATTAATTTTAATAACATTTCTTATTGAAAGTTATAGAACTGTTTTGTTCTGGAAAAGTCAAAGGGAAAGATAAAGGTTAATTTGTGAACTTAATTTTTCAATAGAAAATGCTTTATTTGCATGCAGTTCTTGGCCATGTGAAGAACACAACACAAGTTGTTTTTGATCAACTGTCATGAGTTTGTATAGGAGTGTAAAGAAGAGAGATGGAAATACATTGGCCCTTTGTAGATGAACATAACAGTAAATCTGTGAGCATGAGCTTCCATGTTGCTGTGTCCAGAGACCTGTAGCGGTTGTGCTTGACAGCTATGTGAGGAAAATGTGAGGAAACTGCACTCTGGATTTTGGACTGTTTGAGAAATACACATAGAACAAGAATTTATTGGTTTGCACATGTACACTGGCAACATTTCTTTAAGTCTCTGGACTGTAATAGATATCTGGGCTACTGTACACCTGTATACATTTCTACATTTTCAAGTGTTTGATCCATACCACACTTGGGCCTTATTTTACAGAGACTTATGCAGTATGTGTCATCACAGATTTCTCAGTTAAGTTTACACACCTGAGGGTAAAAATATATTATTATTTTTTACTTGCACTATAGCCTAACATGCACTGAGTCACTCAATAAAAGGTGTATTCTGGTAAATCATACGTTTTTTCTTGTCATGAAAATCGAAGTATAAATCATTAATAATTATTAGTTAAGTTACTGATTGTATCATGCATCCAGTTCATTACTCTCTGCACTGTACAACATGCCTCTTACATTTCAGTCTTGCCATATACCAAACCATATCTTAACTTTTTCATCATGTTCTCACAGTGTGGTTTACCACACCAGGTATTTGCATAGAAATACAAACACAGTTTTGTATTATTATTTTTTATAATAGCTATTTCATTTTTGTCTACAATTACATTATTTGTTGATTGTGTTGATTATGTTGGAGATTGCGTCAAGCATACATTTAGAATTTTATCACAATACATGCAGAGCTTGTACCAACATAGCACAGAAGTTGACCTAAACAATTTTCAGAAATATTTTGGGAAAGTCAGTTTGAGTAATCAGTTTTATTGGAAGGTAATGGGGCCTGACTCCACGTAATCATCACCGATCAGATAAAAGCGATCTGTATCTCCGCTGTCTGTGAGTGTGTGTGTGGGTGGGGGCCCGGGGGCAGTCAAAGGGGGAAGTGGGTGCTATTGAGCCGTGACTAATTGAAACACACAGAGGAGGGCGCTGCTAAATTGTTAAATCGATGCCACTTCCACATGGGCTCCAGATATAGCAGCAATCAGCGATGCGTCTCTTTTCATTAGACCACTTCAGAGTGTGTCAACCTGGGACCAAAACCAAAAAGTGTGTGCCAGCAGATCCTTATCCACTCCACTGACTTCTCCAAAACAAGTGACAGCTGTGATTAGGCACTTTTATTATAGTCACACATTCATTTGCATAAATTTTAGTTATTAAGGCACAATTTCCACAATTTATTCCCACAATATAATAAAAATCTATACACCAACAGTTTCAGTCTTCAGGTCCTGCTGGCTGCATTTTTTATTTTTTTTTTGGTTTAGGAACACTGATAAAGTATTCATCAGAACAGAGAAGGGATCTGCCCAGGCTTTGTATGGAATTAACCATTTCATAGTAAATAATTCAACGGGAATTCAAGCGAGGATTTCATTGTGTTTCTGCCTCATAAATAACTCAGATTAGAGATGATAAATAATGACATCTGACTTATTTCTGAAAACTTCTTCTCTGGCCCAGTCACAGCGGGACAGGTCGGAGAGTGTTGTGGAAGGGAGATCTCCTGCCTTCCACAAGGCCTAGCTCCAGCTTGGAAAGGTTTGGTTTGTTGTTGGAAGAAATGGTACAAATGTGTGTCCTGTAAACTTCAGGACTGACAACTGAAATGTGAATAACAGTCTAAAATGGATGTTTGGAGTATCTCACAACACAGTTCTAACAAGACAGAGTGAACTCCACTTCAAAGGGGGTTTAGTTATTAAGGTTTATTGTATTGTATTCTACAATACCTCAATCCAAGAGGGTCACCTCTGCACAGATTTGACTTGTAACTTGGCCTGGCGGCGTCATAACTCGTCTCCAAGGAAACTGGTAAGTTTTATGCCATACAGTGAAACATTCCAGACAAAGCCTGAACAGCTGCTTGGAGACAAGCAGAGGGCAACATTGTAAGATGCAACAGCACACAACTTTATGTGTGAAAAAGCCTCCAAATATAGCATTATGAAAACACATATCTGGCATTTGATAATTCAGAAATATAACTGAATCTTGCCACAACTATATGTGAATTTCAACATGTCTGGTAACAAATTCTATAATATCATGTCGGTTAAGAGAATAGACTTTTCAATCATGTCTATTTCACACTTGTCTTCCTGTTCCACTGACCTCTCTCTCTCCCCTCCCTCTCTCTCTCCTCTTCTTTATGTGTCCTCATTTCATTTCCTCCAACATTATAGTCACCTCAGCCCAGTGCACTTGTCTCACCTCCTCTCCACAAGTGTGCTGCTGACACAGAGGCTGCTCCCTGGCCATATCATGTGATTAGGCTGAAGGCCCTATATCCTCTGTACTGTCTGAGCCACAAGTAGCTTACTTATGAGCCCTCACAGGACACAAATAAGGACTCACTCCACATTATTAAGTAAAAAAAAAAAAAGTATATAATTTTTAAGTGGTCTAAAAATGGAAATATTTTACAAATTTGTATTTTGTATTGTCTGAAAAAGATGATTTTTTTTTTTTTTTAAATCATGTTAAAATGTAATATTTTATTTGATGCATGTCTTAAAACATCTACTTTTAAAGCATTAGCCTACTAACTACTAGCATATTTTTCCACTAAGCACTAAATAATTGCTGTCCAAAAGTATGGTAGATAGACAAGTACATCATGCCTCAGGTCAACATGATCTTCTACTTGAGTTATATTAATTTTAACTAACAGTACTTAGATTCAATGCTTCTCTCTGCACATGGCCCACTTGAACTTGGAATGTACACACAGGAAGTATTGACAAGTTTACTTCTGGCTCTCTGCACCTCTGTCTGACACCTATTTCCTTTCAGCACTACCTCTGCATACACACACAGACACAGACACACACATGCACAAGTCTCTAGCATCTCCTCGCACTCTCTTTGGTTTTCCGCCTCTATCAAAGTGTTGAGTGCAAAGTATGTCTCAATGCCCACTCCCCCCCCACCCTCTCCAAAACTGTCACATGTCACGAGAGGAGTGTTCACCCCACTCCCTCGCCCTTTTTTTTTTTACCCCCTGGAGCTCCGAGCATGAGTGCAAGTCATTATTTCCATGGTAAAGGTCACCCACCCTCTCACCTGACTCCTGAGTTGAGCCGAATACAGCCGCCCAAGAGACAGTGGCCAAATGGCATGGGGTCTGTTGGTAGATTTCGTTAAAGTGTAGGTGCATAGAGGAGTATGTCTATGAAGTCCAGGTAATTGGCTGCAGGGAGCTCCATAATGAGGCATGGGCACTGTATTATATGACACATCTTAAAAGGAGAAATATTTTAATAGGGCAATTACAGCAGGCAGAGGAAGTGTTTGGGTTGGAGTGAGCTATTGTGGCTGAGGGGAGGGGGGCATTTAAATCTATTATCTGTAAGAATGAGGAGCTCAAAGAACCAGGGAAAATTAGAGATTGGAGGCTTTGAAATTATTAAGAAAAATCATCAAAATATTAGGTGGCATTCAAGGACACAACTGAGCATTAGTGAACATGAAACATCTATAAAGACAGATACATCATTATACTGTTAAAATAATATTCTGTAACTCCCTATATTCATGCCAAAACAGGTGAGATTCTCTTTTTCTTGTGATATAAAAAAATTTTAATTTCTTCTTTTTGTGAAACTCTAATACTTTTCCTACAATTTTCCTTTTCATTTTAATAAAGAAGCAAGTCAAATCTGACATTTCTACTCTGGAAAATTCAGTAGTAGTTTATTTTTACCTAAAATAATCTGCATTTAGATCTGTTAACAACTGCGGACATTGTAGACTTTTCAGCAATCTGATGACAAACATTTTAAGTGTCTAATTTATTAATCTATTTGTTGTGTGCTCTTTTAAAGTTATCGAGTGTTCACTTTTAAAGCACAGTGATAAATTACCAGGGGGATGCATTCAAGTGCAGTCAATAATTAAAAACTGTTTAAATCTTGTGCAGACAGACAGTCCCCCACAGTGCTGTTTAATTCAGCACACTTCATATGCTCAGTTACATCTGAAGATTTGGCCCTGGGTGATGCCTACAACTCCACCTCCAGCTCTGAATCACTCTCACAGCATCCACCGAACCGGCCAGTCAGCCCTGTTACTGACCTGCACCTGCCTAACAATGCTGGCTTCTCCTTCACTCACCCAAAGTGCTCTGACTATAGATGAGGTTAACTACAGCACTTCCACAAGTCAACCGGTCCAATTATATCAGGCTGACTACCCCTCTCCACCTGAGCGCTGTGGTGTGGAAAACGCGGTTCCACTGGCTGCATCACCGGGGACAGAACAGGCTAGTGCTGCTGTCTGGAGCCTGAATGGAGCACAGACCAATTTGGCATGCAGGAGTCTATGGAGAATAAGGCTGATGAAAAATATATATGATCTTCTTCAAACATGTATTGTTCCGCACTGCTGTGTCTTATCAGGCCGGCTTCCAGCTGATGTACTCCAGGCTTGGCAGGGCGAGACTCTACATAGCAAAGAAGGGAGCAGAGGCACTTGGAATGCTAAGGTGCTTCACACATAACAGCACAGACAAGACATGTCCAGGATACTTGCTTCTAAAGTTTGGAAATCCTGAATCAGAGAAAAATATAGAAATGGGAGCCAATTTAAATGAAGGGTGATTACTACAGAGAAAATATAGCATTGTATTTCCAGGAAAAAAAACAAACCATAAAAATGATTAAATCTTGACTAAAAAGATAACTAAATTGAATCGCTCTAACTACAGTAATAGCCATTTGATTTGGACTCTGGTGACCTCTGTCTGCCACAAACAGAACTGCATCTACTTACAGTAGTACTATAGACCGTATTGCTAAGTCCTGTCTACTAAATATTCAAATATAAAAAGTATCAAACAACGACAAAATTTTAACTGAGCCTGCTAACAAATGTATTATGATTTCTACATGTTTCTATAATAAAAGGAAACAAAGGTCAGACATAATATAATTTATTCAAGAACTACAGCAATTTACAGAAAGAAGGTTCAGACAATATTGTTAATGATGGTGTTTCTGCTTGAACTGCAAGCCACAGTAGCCACATGTGCCCACTTTTGTGTCCTTATCCTGTAGTGAAAGGAGAGAAAATTATGCAATCATAAAAAACTGAAACTGAAGTGTGACAAATGCTCAGAAAAACAACAGTGGAAGCCTGAATAAAATAACAAACTGATTTTACCAGATTGATGTAGACTTTGGGATGGCCCAGTGCACCTCCACCTCCATCACATGACACCACTCTGGCCTCGATGTGGGTGACTTCCTCCTCTGCCACCAAATTAATGGCAAAGTTCTTATTCACCTTAACACACAGAAATAAAGACGAGCATAATATGATCACATACACTGTGCAAACATGACTATTTTATGGCCACTAAATGTTCATACATAGGCCAACAAAGTAAATGCAGAAAATTAGAAAGGACATAGATCAGTGCTGTGTCAAAAGTAATTTAAGGGATGTTTACAAAACCTTCACATGACAAAAAAATGCACAAATAAATGTGTATAAATAAAAGTAAAGTAAACCAACAGTCAGGGCATAATACTTTATGTTAGGAAGAATACAACAGTGTGTATAATGAATAGAACGCAATATGGCATCAGTATTTGTATGCACCTTGCATAAATGATCTTAAAAGATAAATAATTGGATTGACATACAGTCTTTCGTTTTTCATCAGGTCAAAACTTATTTTTTGAGTGCAGTAAGAAACAGGTTAGCCTGCAAAGTCCCTGAATGAACCCATTATAATATATACCACAGTCAACACAGAACACTACTAACTACTACATACAAATGGCTGCACATGGACTACTAGACTTCACAGTATGGGGTCAGTGAACTTTTATTTGTTTAATACCTCTTTTTGTCTCCCGACAAACCGTGCTCTTCTGGGGTCTTTTTCATCAAACACCTGGGAGATGAATAAATGAAAAGGTTAGTTGTTGTGCTACACAGTTAGCTTCAACCGCAGCTAACACTGCAGACGGAGGACAGTCAAAAACTTTACCTGTCCGGTGTGAGTGATCGGCTCACCAGTGCTGGATACTTCTAAACTGTAGCGGTGAGCAGACACAGCACCCAACCTCAACGGTGAAACCAGCACCTTTGCATTTTTACTGAAGGACAGAAGTCTGCCCACTGACGCCGCCATGATGAAAACAACCAGCTTTCCCAGGCTTCTTTGCGGGTTGCGAACTTGTGTTCATTTATTTTGCCCCAAGTTTTGCCTTTAACCAAGTAACCACCGTAAAAAAGAAACTATATGGTGTTTACCAGAGTACAGAAAGACTATTTAACTCAATAAAAGCGAGAAGATATAATAGTGCACGTGGATATATTTCTCTCTCAAAAGGTACAGGCACAGTGTGCCTGACAGTCAGTACTGTGGGAATACCCAGCGCACTTCCTGTGTCCTCGATTATTCTCAACCAAAATCAGCGTGTTTGGCTCTAAACAAAAATTTGTGGGGGAAACCTTAAGTCAAACTGAATACGTTCAGAAAGGTAAGTGATTAATCGTTTTAACATAATAGTGTCCACCGTGTTACAATAATACACTAGTATTATAACATTACAATAGCATTAATCGCAGTAGTCAGTCGGACAGCGTCTATTTGCATGTTAGCTAGCTAATCATAGCATTTGATCAACTGTGTCCTGGGTAGCTGGTTATTCTGGTTAGTCTTTTTTTTTTCTTTTTTTTTTACCTTTAGTATATGATAGTTCAGTGACAACGTGCATGATTTTTTGTCAGATGTGTTTTAATGTAAGATGAGGATACATATCACACAACACACAGGCACATGGCACCTATTCATCAAAAGACAAAAAAAAAAAAAGATTTGCTTATTTGCAAAAATAAAGTTAAACATCTTTTCACGTAAACCATTAAGACCCATGTGCTATTTGACTTCATGTGTTTATTTTACAGAACTCCACAAGGATGGCTTCAGTAATCCTAAAACAAATGGCTTCTTCATTGACTCGCCAAGTTCTCCACATAAACAGATTTTCTGTGATGCTCACCTCTTCAGCAGCCTCATCCTACAGATGTCTCCGGACACTGTCTGCGGCTCCCAGCTCACTGCTTTGGTCTTCAGCCAGAGTAAATTCAGTGCAACCCTCTGCATCTCTGCTGGGACAGTGTCAGGCTCTGCTCTGCCTCCAGCCCTGTGCTAGTATGAAGACCAAAAGTGCCTTGAAGCGCCGCTGTAAAGACTGTTTCTTTGTGCGACGCAGGGGACGTTTGTTTGTGTTCTGCAAGACACACCCAAGGCACAAGCAGCGGCAAGGCTGAAAATGTAAAAGTGCATTGAATTGCTGAATACTATTATTATTTTCTTTCAAATGGACTTTTAGCTATAACTATAGATGTATCATAAGATCTATTGTAAAGGGATGAAAACTCACTGTAATAAAGAGAAACCTGACATGTTTTCAGAGTTGATTGACACATTTTCGCAGTTACCTTTTATTTACCAAATCACCTTTTAGTGAAGTTAATGGCACAATGCATGTAGCCTATAATACTGCGCTCTTAAAATGTAGGTGTCTAACTTTTTGATTAAAATAAAATTATTTGTACACAACTCTATAGGTAAGATCTGTTAAACTAAAAATGTATTAATTTGACCACTAGAGAGCACCATTTTCTCACTGTAAAACTGAAGCTGTAGAAACCATTTCATAAGAGCTGTTGCATGTGAACCATTTATATAATGTATTTTCATTTCATACATTTTAACTGCACAGTTCTGTAGGTTATTGTCACCTATTTAATTGCAAATAATGATACAGGATGAAGAAATCATAAACAAACATCAAAAGAAATAATTGGCATTTGAATGAATAGGATTAATAGACCTGCTTTTATGTTTTGTAATCTATGCTTGTAATACAGACCAGGCTTATTAATAATTATTGAATTGTCTTATTTATCGGTTTTGTTTTTTTTTTTACCTTGAAACGAACTGTCGGAACTTTCTATGATTACTCTTGTCAGCTTGGTGCCTGTGCTCCGCCCCCCTCGTGAGTTGACCAGAGTTGCCGTGGCCAGTTTGCGCACAGAGGATGTACTGACTTTGCCCTGTCAATTAGCAAAACAAACTCAATCCGACTTTTTCTATTTCATTCGTTTTTTATTTTCTGTCTCTGATCTTCAACAATGAAATCGCCAAAAAGCCGTCCCTCCAGAATATCCCTAAACCCATTCGTCCATGAGGTGAAACTAACCACGGCACAGAAAATACAGGTAAAAATCTTTGGCTATAGATACAGTCAGTCAACGAGCATGTTGAGTTGGTATTGTTTATTAGGCTATTATACTAATTAGACGATTAGAAGAAGTGTAGGTACTTTTTACTGCTACGCATTTAAATCTTCTTTCTATAAATGGGTTACACATCCCATCAGATTTGATTTAATTTATAGTCTAATAAAGCCGTACTGGAATAAACTTCATCCGTTGTTAGGGGGGTTGCCACTTTGTCATTTGACTAGGACTTGTATTGGACACATTTGTTAACTATTTGCATTGGATTTGGAACCAAGGCACTACACGTTTATACAGTGAGGCTCCACAGAGCAATATACTGATGACTGGGCAAATAGTCATTCTAGATAACACTCTAAGTATAATGAACCAACCATCTTTTTATCATAATTTTAAATGAGTTTGCTTTTTATCGACTCTATTAGACCTGGCTTAATGATTATTTAGGATAAGGTAAACACTAACATGGTGTATCACGGTAATCCCTGATTTAACTCTATTCAAAAATATTTTCATTTAGAAGGTTAACACAGTGCATTTCTTGTTCCTTGTGACTACTTTTTTAAGTTTGGTGTGTTTTGTTCTCTTCACATTATTTACATTGGATCCTGCAAGTCTGCGTACAGTTTGCAAATACAGTAGATTCCACTGTATGGTATTTGTTTACTTTTGCAATGTTTTCCTGTATGTACTGGCTTCATTACAAATTTTGTTTGGTTTAAGGTGTTTGGCATGTGAAATGAACATGCAGATTGCCACAGAAGTGCAGAAATATAAGTGTATATCCTTGCTAGATACAATGATAACATAATACATAATAATAGTTCATAATAATATAATTCAGCCCTTAGCAAACAAACCAGAAGTGGATTTTATTACCTGTTCCTCTATTTTTGTGTAAGCATTAGCAGCATGGACAGCTATTGTAGCGAGGAAAGAAGTCATCCACCCACCCCCAGTTCCCTGAAAGCATTTGTTTACAACTTCTAATAGGAGCACCTATAATGACAGCCAATGACATTAAGTAGAGTACTAACAATATGCGTCAGGTTGTGGAGTCTATGCTGAGGATGTATGAGTGATTGCTTATTTAATGTTTAGCCTGTTATGACAACCTAGTAGTTCAGGTAGTTTAGAGCACACAGCCTGACTCTTTAAACATAATGAACCTAAAGCTATTATCTTCTCTACAGGACATGGTGCTGTTCAGACATGAGTACACTCTGCAGGCGGTGTGTACCTGTTTGATTCAAATCTACATGATAAACACACATAGGGACAGAAATAAATAATTTGTACAAGGAACTAACTGACTTTTTAAAAAACATATTCCATAATTATTCACTTCCAGATTATATTTGGTGGTGCAGATGATCCCAGTCCCCCACCATCAATCCTGGGTAACCAGTAGGTTTCAAACTAACCCCCAGAAATTGGTGTCCCAGTAAATACTATATTGCCTAGGACTGTGGTCCTTTAATTGATCTGATTAATCGGTCGGTGGTGTCTTAGTCAACCAAAATATTAGTCCACTAATCATTTTCTTTAGATTATATGAATTTCAATGGGACAACAGCAGAAAGGAGAAGTTAATGAGTAAGTTAGCTGAACAAATGGCTTTTTTGGTATTAATAAGTAAAATGACAGATTAAATGCATGATTCACAATCTGTCTTTATATAAATTTGTATTTATTTATTTTTCTGCAGTTGTTTTTGCATGAACTCCTTTGCAAGTGTAGTCTTGCAAGTAAGTGCAGTTTATGTCAGATATATAGAAATAAGTAAGGCTTTTTTTAGTCCCTCTTTTAGTGGATTAATTGGTCGTCAGAATATGTCTTTATGTTCTTAAGCCTAGTTTAATAAGTGATTGATAGAATAATAATATTTAGGATTCAATATTTATTTTGAATACTTTGTCCTAGTGCAGTATTTTGTGTACAACATAATATTCAAGGTGCAGAGCACTGAATAAAAAACTTCTGGATTCATTATAGATACAAATGAGCTGCTTAAGTGTTTCATTCCACTTTTTATTTATTGCAGCTTTTGTGTCAGTACTATCTTAATTTTGTTTCATTTTTCCTAATTTATCTTTTATTTTCTTAGTTCCACACACTGCCCTCTTTGAAAATGTCTTCCTAATGATTCTTGGAAGATCTGATAATCATGCTTAGAGGGCAGGGAAACCACTGTGAGGTGTCAGAACATTGTAAACCAGCCCTATTACTGCTTACTTATTCATATGGGCCTGTCGTGCGCACCTGGGTTCCTCCAGAGAAACAGAAGGAACAGAAGGGGGAGGGGTGAGAGGTGACACAGAGCACAGGTGAGACAGGTGAAAGACAGTGGTGAGACTGTCACCACATTTACATAGACACCAAAACAGCCGGATAAGTGGCCTAGTCCAATTTAAACTATTAACGACTGAGGTGTCAGGTTTCAAATCTCAAAGATACTTACTTATGGCTTTTGGCTAAAAAGTAGTGCTGAAGATTTGGTTGGATGGATGGTGAGATAGAGTAGGACTCCTTGTGGAATGATTATTATTGTTATTTGTTATTTACACTGTTGATAGGCCTGCTAAGACTTCTACATGTTTGAGCCCTTTATTTTTTAAAGTTTTTGTCTGTATAACTTTTTGCTCGAAAAGAGTAGCAGAATAATTTATGTTTTCTTTGACTCTTGTGTTGTTGAGCTTAACAGAACCCCTGTGGTTTGATTGATTTCCAAAATTTGGTGAAACTCCTAAATTGTTTGCTTTGGCTTACTTTGACTTCCTTTTCCAGCAATTGTTCATGTTAAAAACTACTGTTATAAATAATCTCACAATCTTACTTTTTCTTCTCTACTTTCAGATTGGACTCATGTCTTTCACAGTGTTCCCTGTGCGCATACTGTTTGCAGTTTCTTTCATGCTGTTGGCTTGGGCTTTTGCCTATGTGGGTGCATTGGGGCGTTCTGAATCTGTTATTGAGCCACAGACATGGAGGAAGAGGTGAGACATGTTTATTTCGTTATGATTATTTAGCTAATCACAAATATTAAAATGTCAAAAGCTCTAAAACAATGTTGTCTTTCATCAGATTTTTTGATTTTGGTGTTCGGATGTCAATGCGGGCCATGTGGTTTTTTTGTGGGTTCCATTGGGTGAAGGTCAAAGGTCAAAAGGCAGACCCATCCGAAGCCCCCATCCTTGTTATGGCTCCACACTCAGCTTATTTTGATGCCATTCCAGTTTCTGAGAACCTGTGCACATTTGTCACCAAAGAAATGGGCAGGGAAGTTCCTATCTGGAAAAGTAAGTTTAGGACTTTTGGTTAGGAGATAATAAATGGTGTATTTTGTGTAAATGTCTCTCTTTATCGTGTTCATGACAGGTATAATTGAGTATGTCAGACCGGTATATGTGCTCCGTGGGGACCAGGACTCCAGGAAAAGAACTGTGGAGGAGATCAAACGCAGAGTTACATCTGGAGAGTCATGGCCTCAGGTAACATGCAGAACACATCATAATGCACCTGAAGGCAACATTGTCTGTGACTTGAAAATGCAGCAGCAGCAGCAGCAGCAGCATATATTTGGGTTGTCAGAAAAGTTCATATGCAGATTAAACAAAGGGTATGGTATGAATTTGATTATTGAGTTCACAGTAGAATCGTTAGAACAAAAAAAAGACAATTTTAAAAGCAAAATTAAACTGTAAATCTGTTCTCTAAAAAAATACTCTTAAATGTAAAGTTTATTCTTTTGCACTCTTTATCACATCATAGTAAAGGTATTTTATATAGCGCTTTTCCACCTTCAAGACACTCAAAGCACTTTACAACAAGGAACAACTCACCCATTGATACACCAGTGTACGCAGACGCCAGGGGTGAGGTGGGTTAAGTGTCTTGCCCAAGGACACAATGGCAGCATTCATCTGTGGGAGCTGGAATCACACTGCCAACCTATGGGTCAGTGGATCTGACCACTTAACCAATGATGTTTATGTCGACAGTCTTTGGATCAGTGGACAAATGCTCTTACCAACTGAGCTACTGCCTACATAATGTCACATTCTGTCACAATACTGTTATTTAATCATTCAGAAAGTTTGATTTCATGAAGCTGGTCACATACCTGAGGAGACAAAAGAAAGAAAATGAATGGTTTCACCATTGTTTGGCCATGGCATCAATAATTGTGAATAATTTTAAATGTGATGTCTTTTATCACAAGAATTGTAACACTAAACTTTGATATTGTGACTTTAGGGCTATGAGAAGTTCTACTTTTTCTACAGACCCAGTTAAATACTGTAAATGAGCTCTTTCAATACCATTAGAGGTCTGTTGCCACAGTATTGGTGCCACTGAATTTCATCAGTGCAGTATACCTTATTTCCATGTAATGACCCATCCCTACTCAGATTACTAATTGTGAATTCACATTTGTATCAAAACTATCAGAACGAGACCACAATAGTAATACTAAAGAAACTATAATATTTTTGTTGATGAGTATCAAGCCTTTTCCTTTTGTTAAAATCAAGTTTTGAATAGTAGTATTTTAAAAATAGCATTGCTTGATATCAAAAGTCTAATTCTTCCTTTCTAATCGAGATCCTGTGTGTTTGTTCATTGCAGTTGATGATTTTCCCAGAGGGCACGTGCACAAACAGGCTTGGGCTCATCTCGTTCAAAGCCGGTATGTGTCAAATTATGTACATCTTCCACCTGCTGTTGACTGAAGGTGTGAAGTGAGCAAGGATTACAATTTCACAAGTACAATATCATAGACATAGGATAGAAGCAAATAATACAATTTCAGTCAAGAAAGTCATTCAGTCATCAATGGAAAATTTATTTTAGTTAACTAACCAATTGGTTTTAGGCTATATCCTTTTTATATAAGCCTAAATAAGGGAATATTTAAAAGACAAAGGAGAAATTCAATTTGTCCACTGGACAGAATATTTTTTTTGTCCAGTTGACAAATTGAATTTCTCCTTTACCATGGATTCTGCCTGATGACTGTGGGATTTTACAAACGCAGATTTTTAAAAGTAAAACATGTGAATCTGTGAATCTGTGGTGGACTATATGTGACATGTAGTCTATTGTCCCAGTCCCTTCCCTGGGAGAGATAGCTGTATGAGTGTAGTGCATTGTTCTCTTGATCCTCCATTTGATCCCCTTTCTTCCACTTTGTAATTCGGTTGTTTTCAGTAAGCTCTGATAGACATTCTAATGCATTTAGCGGGGACAGGAAATGAATTCTTTGGGGCTTGCCATGTGAAAATTGGTAATTTAGCCAATTTAATGAATTTACTTAATTATGAATAAACTTTTTGTTAGTCTACAATTGTTTTATTATGGATTAGAGTGTGTTCCATTTTTACATATAAATACTTGTTTAGCACTTCTCTAAATGTATCTTTTTGATTTCCTCCTGTTGTGGTCAGATATGATCAGTTCATTGAGATAGTGAATAGTATGGGGGATTTTATCTATGCCATGCTTCTAATTGCACTACTTAATGTACAAGGTATGCCTTTAGGCAACACAGCTCTGTGTCACGTTTAGACTGCTCAACAATGTGGAAACACTGAAAATTTTTAAAATGCTTTGTTTTACAGAAAAGATAATGGACAGCTTAATTGTGTCTGATGAGCCTTCCGTGCTTTATTTGAACTAATGTCTCTTTAATAACAATAGCTCTCCATTGTTGTCCTAGGTTCCTTTATCCCTGGCCTTCCTGTTCAGCCGGTTGTTCTGAGATACCCTAACTCGCTGGTAAATCTTTGTTCAGTCTCTTTTTATTATTGCCTTGATCAGAGCCATTAACAGTGACCACACAGTGACACAGATCCTACCCAAACATGCCAGGTGTCTTTGTCCCTCTCCACTGCCCCCTTGTGTTGAGTGACTTCATGTTTAGTTGGAGTGATATTCCATCCCTCATCTGTCTCTCTCACTCACACAAACCTACAGGTGTCACGTGTCCAATTCAGCACCTCTTCTGTCTTATTAATTAATTATGGACCCCTGATATTACACTTTTCCCCTCCCGAGCCTGCTCATCACAATTGGGTGTCAGTGCACTGTACAGATTGGTCAATACATAGACATTAAACAGTTGAGCTTTTAACTTTTTGTAAAAGTGTTCACATGTCTATGGCACACAAAAAAAAGATTACAAAAGCGTTTTTAATCTTTGATTATCAGATTTCCCAACCATATTATTTTATTATTTATGCATATATATATATATGCATAAATATGTAGCGGTAAGGCTACAAAGAGTTTAATTCTGACTGGGTGGTGTAAAATGAATCAAAATATTTGTGTTATTTGAAGTACATATCTCCAACATATACATCACATTCTTTTCACGACTATCTTAGACTAAATGTACACAATGTCCACAATCTCTGCAAACAGTAGCTGTGACATAACATCAGGCTCAGATTTTAGTCTGACTTCATTCTGAGGCACTTGTGGTCTACTTTGGTCCTCATGCTCTTTCTTGTCTTTCCCCACCTTTTCTGCAGGATACTGTATCATGGGTGTGGCAAGGTCCTGGAGGGTGAGTGTTCTGTCTAACACCTTTTCAACATATTTTGTTATTTGTCTGTGTGCTTGCCTCACAGTTACACTTAAAGGTGTAATATGGAACTTATATAACATATATATATATATATGTGTATGTGTATATATATATATATATATATATATATATATATATATATATATATATATATATATATATATATATATATATATATATATATATATATATATATATATATATATATATATATATATATACATTTCAATTGCTTTGGCTCATTTTCTGAAACTCTTTCAAAAAATCCGGCAAATCTTCGGCACACTTTGCACAACTATTCACACAGGACACAAAACAGTTCATCTAGACACTCTCCAGAGAATGCTTGTGGTTCAAATAGAAACACAGTTATCGGATTTATAAACATATCTAACCATTATTCAGACACTGTCTGGAGAGTGCTCCCATGCTTTTAGTCATGTAATGTGAGGGAGTCACAGACCTGTAGGACAAGTATCACACTGTTTCTGATGGTTTGAGAGTGAGAGAAATGCTGTAAATATGTGTTTGTACAATATTACACAATAAATTAGAAAGCAAAAAAAGAATTGTTTTCAAATCTTTGATTTTTAGCAGTTGGTATCGGAACTGTATCGAGAACTTGGATTTCAGAACTTGTATTTCAGAGTCTCTGAATGAAAACCTGATTCACACTGGTGTCAGTGTTTTTTGTCTGTCTATAAAGTCTCTTTATATTGTGATACGGCTGTGTTCAGTTTTGTCCTTTGTATCTTTGGTCTATGGACTTTGGTAAGAATGTGCATTATTTAGGGACACAGACTATAGCATGTGCAGACAGATTGTTACAGTTGCAGTCTGTGTTTAAGTAGTCAACCAATGTGTTTAGGTTATGCAAAGACTGTTTTGTATTTTGATCTGAGAGTTAATGCTTTAAAATAAATATATGGTTGTGTATTGTGGAACATTTTAGGCAAAGCAATAACATCTCCATTGAAACAAAGGTGGTGTAGCTTCCTCCAGAATCCCTAACCTTACATAGTGCCCTTTAAAACTTATCTTACCACATTAGTTTTTGTTTTGCAGGCTGAAAATTCTCTGGCTCACATTGTGCCAGTTTCACAACTCTATGGAGATTGAGGTAAGACTTTTTGTGTAGACTATACATTACTGGAATATTTAAAATGTATATTACAGGTTATACTACTAATTTCATTAAAACATAGTGAACATAATTATATTTAAGATAAAATGACACAACTGTTATGGTTAAACAAATAAAAACCAATGACAGCGTTCCATTAATACATTTTTAAACTGAATTGATCCCTGCATTTTGGATGGAATTTTGTGTTGATAACATATGTAGTAAGAGGACCCTGTATTTTGTTCTTTTCTTAAGAACTTTTTTCCCTCAAACTTAATGTTGATATGATATTTTTGCAGTATTTGCCTGTGTACAAGCCATCAGAAGAAGAAAAGGAAAACCCTGCTCTGTATGCCGAAAATGTTCGCAAGCTGATGGCAAAGTGAGTGAAGGAAAAAAGAAACAAACCAAAAAATATTACATCTGAATAGAAGAACACAATACAATTTGTTATTCACTGTCCCACAGAGCATTGGAGGTGCCTCTCATAGACCTAACTTTTGAAGATCGTAAAATGATGTTGTCCAATGGCCCTCTGAGAATCTTTAACTTCAGCGCTCTGCTCGAGTTCAACCAGCTGGTGGTCCGCCTGGGGTGAGTGTAGCATTGGACTAACTGGTTTGTAAGGGTAACTATAGTGCAAGGGTGAAGAGCAGAGAAAATCCACCAACACTGACACCTGGTGGACAACAAATGAAAACACTACTTTCCCTACCCCCCTTCCCATTACTTTGAGTATTTTAAGGGGCACTGTGTAACTTTTCTGATGAAGGAATGCTATTTGCTCATCTTCATGCAGATATTATTGTTTTGCTTGTAATGTGACACAGTCTGACAATACATTTTAATTCATGGAGATAAATGTATATTTGAACAATAAAAACACCTGCAATTTAATAAATGTCATACAGACAATGCCAAACTGTGAAACATACCAAGAAAAACAATAAGAACAGAAAAGTTACACAGTGCATCTTTTTTGAGTCGTTTTTGTTGAGTTGTTTTTCTTGACCCTTATTGCAATTTTTTTTTCATAATATGAAATAAACTACCCCCTGAATCTCTCATCAACTGTTACTAAAGACCTGATAAACAATACACAATAATGCTACAAAATAAAAGCTCCATTTCAACAAAAAAACAACACATAACATGAAAGCTGTACTCAAGAAAGAGCAATGTTTCCAGGAACTGTAATAGTAAAATATACAGTGAACTAAAATGTACTACTACTCACCACCTCTACATAACCTGAACTACTCCAATGGGGTTTTCTTTTCTGTCTACTGTACATGGTTGTGGAAAGCAATATAGTAAGTATGGTTGCATTTTTGTCTATTTCAGGTTGTCTCACAACAGTGTTAATGAACAAAATGGCACTTATTGTTATTGTTAAACATCTTCAAACTGACAGGACATCTAATCACACATGACCGTTGCTTTAGGATCACTCATAAAACAAATGGCTGTAAATATAAGCACAACAAAACCATGTTGAATAACTTAGGATGTTTCTTAACTTTGATGATTTTTTTTAATTCCTCATATTTCTAATCTGCAATTTCCAATGGCAAATTTTCTGAAAAGTTACTTAAAAGTTTCTGCCTCTTTGCAGCTTTAACAATGATGCCTTTCCCTTAGCAAATTTTTATATTGTCTACAATTTGCAGACTGAAAGCCAGTAACACCTCTGTACTGGAACAGCAGGCTACAAAGGCACGCAAGTTGCAGGGAGAGAGGTTAAGTGTGGAGGACTTCGCTCAGGGCCTTGGTCTACCTGTGAGTGACAAACTACAGCAGGTCCATGGCATGTTTGATGAGGTATGCTCACATTTTCATTTAAAGATATTAATAGATCTTCTAGATCAGGGGTCTCCAACCTTTTTCCTTCTGTGATCTACTTTTTAAAAAAGAAAATGCCAGAGACCTATTAATTTTTGGGGTTGAAAATTTGTAAATATAAGAGCCATGGTTTGCCAAAGATGAGGTAAAGTTAGATGCCTATAAAACATAACCCAATTATCACTGTACAAAATTAGGCATTAAAAATATACATTTACAAAGGAAAGAGGGATTTAATCAATCAAATCTGAGTTATTCAGCCCAATATATCTAATGCAGAAATCCCTTGGCGAGCTATTTGGAAGGAGGTGGTGAGCTACTGATAGCTCCCGAGCTACAGGTTGGAGACCCCTGTTCTACATTATATAATTCCAATTTTGTATTTTCACAGAAAGAAGATGGGCACATTGATTATAGGCATTATGTTATTGCTCTGTCAACCGTGTGTCAGCCACAAGAACCAAAGGAGACCCTGAAACTGGCGTTCAAGGTAACTTCTTACTCACACTATAGCACTTTATGATGGAGGCCTGGCCATCCATGATGAGATGTATATTATCTCACTTAAATGCTCCACAATTGCCATACAGTGAAATATCCCTGGCAAAACAAAAAGCTGGTGACGGACCCTCAATCAGAAAAGTTACATATTTAAATCAGGTGCCTTCATAACAATTATTAATTAACAAAAACATATTGTTTGTTTTTAGATGTACCAGAATGAAGATGATGGAAGTGTGACAGAGGAAGACCTTGCCACCATCTTGGAAATAATGCTTGGAGTGGAGAAAATGGACCTAAGTGGACTGTTTCTATCACTGCAAGAAGACACAGGGAAGATCACATATGGTGAGACCTCCAGGATCAATGCTCAGTGCTAAGTAACCAAGACATCAGTATAAATTTAAAAACTAACTCTGCTATTCTTATTTCAGATGAGTTGTGTGAGTTTGTTGACCAGCATCCAGACTTTACCTACAACTACATTCGGTTCAAAAATCACCCAGGTTCCTTTTGCTTCAGCAGTGCAAGAAGCAATGGAAAAGACCACAAGAAAAGAGATTAATAATGACATAGAACACATGGTGCCTTTATATTGGTTAGGTAATAGGGACGCAACAATGACTCTGAAAAAGTGAGAATGCTATATTTCACTAGGATCGTCAACTGTTACAATGTATTGAAATGAAGGCTCGTACACACTGAACAGGCAGAGGGAACTACATAGACTAACATCAGCTTAATATAGCAGCCAACTTTTCAAGAGTTTACTGTTCAGATTAAACCTTCTTTTAGCTCTCCTGTAGTAATTCTATCAATACTGCTAATACTACTTCCTCCTTTGGACAATAATGCACTCTAATAGCTACCATAATCTTTGGATTTTGTTGCATTTCTACTGTGCAAGAGTTCAATGCACAGATCCAGAGGTGTAAAAATAATAATTAACATTCCTCTAATTATTTATGGCCTTATTGAATATTTATTTAAAATTTGTTGTCTTGAATTATGGGTGTGTATTTTGTATTTATTAAACATATTGTTATATTTGAAAGAAATGATAATTAATCGGACTGCCTCGCCCCCAGTGCAGATTGTATGTTTTTAAAGAAGACTCTTTTATATACGTTTTATGCTCATTATTACATGTAGGCAGTTCAAATTATATTTATTATCCTTTTAGATGTTTGGTATTGAGTTCACTTTTTTGAATACCAAACGTGATCTCAAAGATTTATCAATAAAACTTTTAGTTCTACAGTGCATAGTGTTTGTGGTATATAAACAATATGGTGGGTTGGATACTTTTTTACTTTCAGCTTTCAATTAAATAATATTCAATTAGATTAAATAGTATAAAGATTTATAAATAATATAGCAAAATTACACAATTTACCAATTTGTGGATAAACTACATAAATAAATGAATAAATAAACAACGTTGCACTTTTAATTTACAATATTGTCCACTAGAGGGAGCTCAGCTTCTATGTTCCGGCCTACTGCAAAAGTATGTACTGTCGGTATTCTCTGCTCTACACAGGTGGATGAAGTGAACCCACTTACATTCAACACTTAAGTACCGTTTTTCATGTTTTCAAAATAAAGCACCAGAATAAAATAAATTGAATACAATACAAACTAATAAAAAGCAGGCCTCAAATTTCCCCTACACCCAAGAAATCTTTTCACCATTACTTTATTTGTTAGTAAATTAAAAAAAGAGCTTAAGAGTGTTGATTTATCCCTGCTCCCATTATGATAATGTTTTTTACGTTGATATTTTTACATTATAACTGTCGACGTAAAATAAAGAAATACAAAAATAACAGTGTCTGATCCTCTACCATCTTAGCCTATTTAAACATGGCGTTCCATACATTGTCCACATGGGGGTGCTATCCCACTGAGTATGACGCTGCACGTCGCCTCATGCTCCAGTGCCCACCTGATGGACAGGAAAAGCATTACCTCATCTCTTCCTCTCATTCCTCCAGGTAAAAATAGACAGATTAAGCCCGGGCTTTGATGAGAGAAACCTACAGAGGAGGTGTGGAGGCTCGGAGAGAGGGACGCAAGACGGAGGAGAGAGACTAAATGGATCGTTCTGCTCCAAATCCAATTCCTAATAGCTGGAGGGATGGGTAGGTGGGAGGAGGGAGCCGCAAACAGTCAAAGAAAGAGGAGAGGGGAGTGGGGGAGTGGAGATATCACGTCTAACAATTAAGACCTGCCTTCAGGGCCTAAAGAAGAAGCTTTGTTGAGAACATATAAATTGCTCATTGAGTAGCTCCTCTCTGCAGTCTGCCTCAGATACAGTGCCTCAAAGACAAGTGCAGAGGCCCCAGCAGCGCACAGGGGCCGTCACACTGAACAGGGGCCCCACTCCCACTGCCAGCACAGGGCAACTTTCTGCTGTAAACACCAACTCTGATCCCACTACAGAGCGTGCTATATACACACACTAGATCCCAAGGGTGACTCCACCAAGACACTTCAAAGAAACCACAATGGATAATATAGCAAGAGTTCACTAGGGATAGAGTGGTTAAAGTCAGAAGGTCCATGTTATGTGACAAAGTTAAGAAATACAACTCACACATGGTAAAGCTGTAAGACATGTGGTGGTCTCTGCTCTCTGGGCCACTAACAGTGTAGGGTAATATAAAGTGCATTTTCAAAGGATCAGAACATCAGAAGTCTAAGCATGTTACAGTGGTTCTCAAATTGTGAGCTGATTCTTCTTCAAGCAAAGTTTCAGATTTTAAAATGCTTCTCTTCTTTTTTCTGTATGGTAATTTAGTTTTAGTTTTAATCCAATACTTTTAATCCATGCTTTTTAAGGTATTAAGTATTGAACGCTTAATAATCTGAAAAGACTTCCTGTTCAAAACTCACGAACTGAAAACCCCCTCCCTTCCAAGTTTAGAAAATGCTTCATGACATATTTTAACCTTGTATGCATGACCCAGAATCTGAAGTACAGAGCAGTGGACGGGACAGGGAAAAGATGAAAACACTAAGATTACTCACACGTGTGAATCAGTCACAACCAAACTATGAAGGAACAGTGTTAAAAAGTGGTTTCAAACTTATAAAAGTTGATTTGCCATAATATTTCTTCATCAGTCTATTTAATCTGTCCTATACTATTGAGAATAACCTTAAAGATCCTATATCACACAACATTGATTGTTGTGAGTTTTAAGTCATGTTATAATGTTATTACTTCATCAAAAACATACCTGGAGTTGCATTTTGTTTCATTCACATATGTTTGAGTAAACCTTTATTATTACCTCTGTCTACATCTCTAAAACTCAAAATGATCTGTTCCACCTTGTGATGTCTTGAAGTGGTAGTTTTCATGTTAACAGCTACTTTTTTATCTTTTTTCAGAAGAAATGGCCAATTCCAGAGTTGAAATCATCCAAATGATTCTAGTGAAGGTATGTGAGGTTTAAAAAAATCTGTTTGTTTGTGTGTTAAACATGTTAATGAAACGAAACACAACTCCGGGTACTTTTTTGACAAGGAAACAGCATTATAACATCAGAAAAAACATAAAGTCCTTTAAATGTGTCCTATACACATAAGAAAGTAGTCTATAAAGCTAGTCTGTCTTTATGAAAATGAGAACTCGCACTGCCCAGGTGAATTCCTTCACTTGTGGAGTATAATTATTGCCTAAGAGCCTTCTCGCTCTTGTTATTCCTCAAACATTGCCGTGGAGGGCTTAATTACATTACACTATTAGCTGAGCTCCGACAAGTCAGATTGATTTTTATATCGGTAAACAAGCTTTAAAACAAGAACTTGAGCTTTCTAAGATGCTGGGAAAATTACAGCCCTGGACCAGCTCAGTATAAAATATGCATCCTATGGAAATGAAAAGGACAAAATGTATAACTTTTGAACCCTACATATGCGCGTTAGGTCCCCCATATGTTGAACTGCACTGTTATTTCTGATTGTATGACTGTTATGGAGCCTTCACTTCCTCCAACAGCTGATTTGGTTTGTGTTATTCCATCTTCAGAGCAGATGTGTTGTGGGGGTGATGAATGACACATCTGAGCAGCCAAGTCACCTTCTGTTGCCACTAATGTTTCATTAGGCCTCTGCATGCATTAAATGTAATTATACAAATCATCATCAATGCACCGCTACTGGAGCTGCACGTGGACTTGAAATTATTGCCCTTGGATTGTGTTATAAATATAATGACAAGGTAATACATTTTAGGCTCTGAAGTGGCAACTTTCAACAGTCAAACCTGATTTTTCCCCCATGTATTTGCATAAACTTTGTCTTGCCCCAGTACAGACATATTGTATAAGCAGCTCTTTAGGTCAAAATATGTTTGCTGTGTGCTGTCTACATTGAATAATTGCTGGATAATCAGGAAGTGCATGTTAGTGTTGTTAGCTTTTCCATCAAGACAAAACTGCACCGATCTTTAAAAGTTATTTATCGGAATGGGAAAATCACCTTCCTCAGCTATGGTTTGGTGAGGATCTTTGGAATAATTGTCTTACACCAGGGGTGTCAAACATACGGCCCGGGGGCCAGATCCGGCCCTCCAAGACCTTTAATCTGGCCCTCGGCTGATTTTCTACTGAAATATTTTTATTATATTTTCTATTAAAATGTTGGTAATTTTCTGCGTCACTTAGCACAGCAGTGTCTCCAGTGCCTCTGTGCGTGGCCCCTCCCACCAGAGCAGCACAAATGAAGACTTGCCTCTTTCCAAATGCTCTTAAAGGACGATCGTTTTGACTGTTGACCGTGACACCCTCAGCAGCAAAATGTCCAAAATGAGAAAAGTGGACGCCGAGTGCAGGATTTCCAAAAAAAATGGACTTATTCCTATTTACATACAAGTTCATGTTAAAACATTGTGTTGAAATCGCATTTTTCTTAAAGTTTCAGGTTGTTCATAATATTATAATATTTTGTAAAAGAAAGTTTATCAATTAAAACAGATTTCTGTAATAGATTTGCGTTTCTCCTCACAAATATTTGAACTTATTGTTATTTTTGGGGTATATATGCCATGAGTTTTTGATCCGGCCCCTTTGGGATCAAAGTAGGTTGGATACGGCCCCCGGACCAAAATGAGTTTGACACCCCTGCCTTACACCATTAGTGGGATTTAAGGTAAGCACACAACTTTATTTCATTAGGTCTTCTGATGTAATTGGGCTGTAGTTTCTTGTTATCTAATCTTTGTTTTATCACACTTTGACAGTTTTGAAAGTGTCTTCAGAAGTGTCATGTGATGTTGTTGTGATGTGCCTGGTCAGCTGATTTAAACAAAGGCCGGTGTTCTCTTCCAACTCAGAGCAGTAGGACGATAGCCCCATCTACTGTTCAACTTCTTTAGAACTTCTTATCACAGGTGTGAGAGAGATTTTAAGCCCCCTCATCCTTATTCACAGTCCAGTTTAAACATTTCTAGGACTCTATTAGCTCCTTAATCCAGCCATGGTATTTGTTGCTCTCTGTGCCTATGACTTGAATAAAGCAGCTCTCTGTGTTAGATACGTCGAGGATAAAGATGTTCGGGAGGGCTTGGTTGCTAACTGTGGCTAATCCCAGCAATAACCAATGTTTAGCACAATTAAAAATAGAAAATTTCTCCACCGTTGACATTTCAGTTTGGAAATCTATAAAAGGCGACTAAACAGTTAATTCCAGGAAAATGTCTCCAGTACTGAATAATAAATGTCACGTGCACCATGTTGTTTAGCATGTTAGTATGCTAACAGCTGCTTAATTAAACTCAACACATAGCCCAGCTGGTGCCACCCCCATTATCTGGCACAGTTCAGAAGTCTTAGCCTATAGCTGTGTCCTCGTGGGACTGGGAATCCAATCCTTCCAGCTCCAGTGCATTTTTAATGAAAAATGATAAATGGAATTCACCCATAGGAGACCATGATTTGTTGTTTTTGAGACATTTCGCTTCATATAAAAAATGTCAACCTTATTAGCCGTACTGCCGTAAAGGTCAAAGGTGAATTCATCATGAGGGATCCTATGGGAGGATGAGTAAAGAACAGAGGCTAACATGTGGGACTGTATAGAACTGTAC